TGGAGCAGGGGACAGATCCCCCTCAACATGTGCACTGATGCAGAAAAGGCACAAATTGGTGCATTAAAATGAACCAGAATGCAGGAAATCAAGTGTCTGATGCTGAGAATGTCCTTATAGAGAAACCCCAGACCCTCTGTGTTACATGTGTCCGTGCCCTCTCAATGACAAAACACAACCCATGCCTTTGCATGGCCTAAATAAAAGATACCGAGATAAGAAGATCAACTTAACACCAGTGTAATATAAAATGATTCAATCGTGGGTTCATTAGACTAATAAAAAATAAAGCCTACATTTAGAAGCCAATGTCTTTTGATTTAAAAGCAAAGGACTGTTTTATTAGGTGATTGAAATAACGTTTGCTCCTGGGTGTTGATCAGTAAGCAATCATCAGACAGGTGAGTCTTCCTTACAATGATTTTTTTGTACTGGAATAACTTCACAGCAGACAGAGCTGCAGACAGAGCTGCAGACAGCACTGACGGCTGGAGATATGCCGCATGTAGGCCTAACTGTGTGTGAGCTGCTGAAACTAAGAGATAAGAACAGAGGAAATTCAGTCACAGGCCCAATGAACTCACTGTGTTACAGCTCTGAATATAAACACAGACATTAAACCAGAGTGAGTAACTTACAGCAGCTGGTAACATTAACAGAGTAACATCAGTTACCTACCGCTCAGTACAAGTGTCACTGGTCTCATTCAGGTCTGGAACAACGCTGCCTGCATCACTGTGTGGTGTTTGCTGCCCTCTACTGGGCTCAGTGTGTGGCACAGGTACAATACAGACACCTGCCGTGGGACTGTCACAAACCATGTCTGCAGAGGCTTCTTCAGAAATGATAATAATGCACCTGAGTTTATATTCAATGAATATAAGGAGATGTTGTTTCTTGGCCTATCTCAGTGTTTCCATCACTCTGGGATATTAATGAGACATTGCTGAAAAGTCACTGGACTGTAATAATCAGTTATAGTGTTGTTATATTTTATATCCTTATAGAATATAACTTGTTTGTTTTTTAACTGTGATTTATATCGTGGAATCATAGGAAGTGTCATAAAAACGAATGATCTGAATAAATAAAAGAATAAAGACAAATAATAAGATATATAAGAATAAGTTTAACCGTTTTTATTTTCAAATTTATGTCTTTATATTTTTATTTATTTATATATTTATAAAGCAGCTACAGTCTGAGAAAAATGATTTACTGCGCCAACTATTGGCAACTTTAAGGTGGAATGTTTACTTGTTATGTTGCTCAATGCATGAGGTGACAACATGAATCCATCAACACATCTTAAATTTCAATGTGACAACTCTGACCATTACTTTAGTTTTTATTGTCTAGTAACTGGAAATAATTTGCAAATGTTTCCCAAGAAATATGACTCCAATCTGCCACACGGTGGCGCTGTAATTAACGCCCCAAAACGTGATTTTGGAAAGGCCACGCCCCTCACATTGTCAGTGTGCTCTACAAAATTTATTTTATTATTATTTAGTTTATTTGATAGGGATAATACACATTAACATAGTATCACTTCCACTCATTACAAACAAGTTGATGTTGACTGATGTTCCGCATACAGAGATTATAGCTATTGCTAGTTTCCAACTCCCTTCCCTAGTTCCTAAAAAAAGCCTCTTTGACCATAAAAGTCCGCCATTATGGAAAGTCTCACTAATGAATACTATAATGAATAGACCTTTTTAATTTGATTCAACACCAAATTTGGGATACTGCCTTGCGGGACTAACTTAGACACACATTTGTAGCCTACTATAAATGAGTAAGGCTGGTCAACAGCATGTTGAAAAATGTTTGCTAAAAGGGCAGCTTTGCATTAAATTGGTCATAACTCATTAGTGATTTGTCGAATCATCATAAATCTCTGTAGATAGCTTCGTTGCATGTTGGAGAGAAGGCCTATCAAAGCATTTTGAGCCCAACCCAAAGGGGGCACCAAGAACACCACAAATGTGTTCCTCTAAACCCGTGGTACAGGATTTCACCAAGTTTAGAGCAAATATTCTGGGGCCAACCAAGATGTGAAGTGTCATATTAATTGCTGCATGTTGTATTTGTATGAATTCCTTTTTATATTTGAAACTTGGCCTAGTAACTGGAAATGCAAATGTTACCCGAGAAATAGGACCCCAATCTGCCACATGGTGGCGCTGCAATTAACGCCCAAAAACGTGATTTTGGAAAGGCCACGCCCCTCACATTGTCAGCGCCAATGACTTGAAATGTGGCACACATATCCAGCTCAATGTGCTCTACAAAAAAGCCTCTTGCACGATGACAGTCAGCCATGATGGATATTTTTACTTATTTGTATAATGTGAAAAACAATACAATGAATAGACCGTTCTAGTTTGATTCAACATCAAATTTGGGACAGTGCCTCGCGGGACTCACTTAGACACACATTTGTACTGTAAATGAGTAAGACTGGTCAAAAAACATGGCCACCATCATTAATAAGAAATGTTTGCAAAGGGCGTGGCTTCGCATCAAATTGGCCTCATTTTGGTTTTGTCGAATCATCATAAATTTCTTAGATATCTTCATTACATGTTAGCCTCGTGTCACCAGGCTCTTCACGTACGGGGAAGAGCCTGGTTTCCATTCACTCTGAATTTTGTCTGGATTCTGGTTCTGGTCTAGAGAGCGGATCCGGAATTCACCAAATTCACCAAAGTAAAAGTGTTCACCAAAGTAAAACTTTAAATTCTGGCGCACCATCGATTTACAATAAAAGAAAAAGGTTAACTTAATGGCTTGGGGCTTTTCTTGTAAATTATATTCTTTAAATTAAAAAGTTTCACCACATTTTTATTAGCTTGGTGCTTTTATTTTGACTATTAAATGTTGAGGAGTAGGCCTATCAAAGCATTTTGAGCCCAACCCAAAGGGGGCACCAAAGTGAAGTGTCATGTTAATTACTGCATGTTGCTTTTGCTTTAATTCCTTTTTATATTTCCACATTTATTTTCTTATACTTTTACAGATGTGTTCTTTTTCATGGCACTCCCATGATTCCATATCAAGCAGTGTTCAAGATGAGTGACAGAGAAAGGTTTGCAATATTATCTGTTATGTTGCATTTTGACTCAATAATCCTGCCTGACAAAGTATTTTCAGCTATTTTCAGCCACTATTGGAAATTTTGGACACAGCTTGTTGGTGTGTAGACATCTTATGGGGATATGTGGTCAATGTAGATATGAGATGTGCACTGGCATGAACTGTGGAAAAGAATCTGAGTATGGTCAGTGTGGGGGGAGTCACGAAGATGGAAATCATGGGGACCAGGTCCAAGAAAATAATAGGTTATTATCATTATTATTATTATTATTATTATTATTATTATTATTTATTTATTTATTTAGATATTCAGAAATATTTATATATTATTACTTATATATTTATTTATGGATAGATTTCAGAGTTGGGTGTTAACCATTTTAACTCCAGTAGGGGCGGTAATGCGACACTTGTCTCGACCCGGAGACATCCGACGTGGAGGATCGTCACGTGACACTTCCAGCCGTTCACCGGACATGACCAAATCTAGGACAACTAGCTGAAGGTGTAGTCAGACCCGTGACAGCGAAGTGGAACAAAGCGATTTTTGACAGCTAAATAACACGAGATAATGTGTAGTTCGTGTAGAGAACTTTTATGAATTATATTTATCCTTCTTTCGTATATTTGTCTACACGGTATCACCCTTTGAATCGTACTAACGGCTGTGTTCCGCGTGACAGCCTTCAACAGCTGACGAACTTGTCCTTACCTTGCGTAATGTTTTGTTCCTTGATTCGACACCAGGAAGCGAGACCAACAGGCTAGCTGTTACTGTTACCGCGATGAAAGCACAAAAGAACCAGAAAACATAACATTAATGGTTCGGATTTGACCATTAACGACCCAGTTAAGGAGCCGTTCCACTGTATTTAAGGATTAACATCGCTGTAATTCGCCGCGTATACTGTTGGGACTGATAGCTAGCTACCGTTTAGCCATCTGGCAAGATTGTCGCTTGCTAACGTTAGCAGCTGGTTACCGTTAGCAAGTTGACGATGGCTGTGGCGCATAGAGGTTGTGTTGTGGCTGGATATTTACTCGCACTGCTGCTGGCTGGGTGCAAAGCGAGGATACACAAGCTCACTTTAAAGGTAAGGTGCCTATCTCGCAAAATGGAGCCATGCTAGCTAGCTAGTAGCTACGCTAGTTGTTGTCCTCCCGACGGCGTTTTAGTAGCTAGCTAGTACGCTTTAATTAGCCCTGACAGACGGTGAGTCAAATGTGGTGCCGTGTTGTTGTGACAGTGTAAACACTTGGTAATTATGTAAAGTATTAAAAATGTGACTTATGAAGATGATGACAGGCATATGAGCTCATCTCCCAGCATTGGTGGAATGTGAAGTTAGTGCCGTTAACGATACATTTAACGTTACTCAAGTACTGCTCTTAAGTACAACTTTAGGGTACTTGTACTTCACTCGAGTACTTCGTTTTTCTGTTACTTTATACTACAATGCCACTATATTTTGCAGGTAAATATTGTAGTTTTTACACCATTACATTTATCTGACAAGTTAATTTACAGGCTTAGATTATTAATAGATAATAATCCCACTTATACATATCTATAATATATAATATAATGTAATAGGTTACATGTTAAGCTACCAGCAGCATATAAAGTCATCAAATTTACCTTACCATTTATATCTTCTCTCTTAATTCTTTTATTGCAAATCTATCCTTTATCATGTTTTATATGTTATTGCTCTGTAAAGCACTTTGAATTGCTCTGTGTACAGACTGTGCTATACAAATACAGCTGCCTTGCCTCGCCTTTCCCAAAATTATCCCCTCTACAACAGCTCATCTCTGACACTTTTTATTTGTTCTCCCTCCCAGAATGAAACTCGGTTTGCCGTCGATCTCAACAATTTTGGTTTCTATGCCAATGGGACTCTGGATGTCAACCTGCTTTCTCTGCGCCTCCCAGAGCAGCCGGTGAATTACAGCCTCTACCCTGTAAGAGCTGTTTGTTTTTTATGTGTGTGTGTGTGTGTGTGTGTGAGTGTTTGTTTTACGTGGCCTACTTGAACTTTTCAACAGGTGCAACCATTTTTTCATAACGTTTTTTACTGAATAAATGAAAAGGAAGAAATGCAAGCTGAGATGCATTTATATTTGTTATAAAAGACACGGCTGGTGTTATTCTCTAATTATCTTATGATGAATCCTGTGCAAACACACAAACCAGTGATGAATTGATCATATGCTGAGTGCCGTAGAGCTCCCTTTTGTTCAAATACACATCAAAAAGCCACACTGTCACTCAACGTGACATTTTTCTCTCTTCAGAATCAGAACCAGCTCTATTGGCCGAGTATGTGCACATGCAATAATTTGAATCAGTTTTTTTGTTGCTCTCGATGCACATACACAGAATAGACGTATAGCTAAAAACACTGACAGCATAGCTGAACTAGGTAACATAACCACTTGACTACCATAAACACTGACTGCTACGCACATATATACATATATAGAAATGTATAGAATGATATATGTTACAGGTTGAATTATATACATGAGGTAGGTGGATATGATAGTGTATACAGTGTGCTGGGATAATGTTTGACATATATCCAAATGTTTGCAGTTTGTATTTAAGTTATAATACATATTATATATTACCAAGACCATGCATGCTTTTGAGTCCATCCCACATTCATCATCCTGGTGCAGTAAATCCCGTTACTGTTTTACTGTCCACTGTCAAAGGTATAACATGCTCCAAATATTTACTCAGGGTTCAATGTGGATGCCTTTTTTTTTTTTTTTTTTTTTTTCCTTTTTTAATGACTAGGCAGGAAAGTGGATCAGAAATCTGCTCACCCAATCAATTTGTACGTGCCCCTGTACAAATTGTTTTATTAATTAACTGCCATGCAAGTGAGATGGTTCTTGTTGTGGCACTCTAATCACATTTTTTGGAAACCTTACGTGCCTTTTAAAAACAGCCCTGTTTTATCCGCCTTGCTCTCAGTCTTGCTGAAACTGCACAATAAAAGTGAGATGAAGCGAGATGGCTTATTAATTAGCTATTTCCATCAGTAGCTCCAAATAAAATAATGTGTTTAATTCCTTTTTTATCACTTGCCCAATCAGGCAAGTGTTTTGCTAGATTTACCAGCCTGACATGGCATGTTACTCACCCCGGGGCATTCAGGCAATCTTCAATTGTTGAGCCCTGTTTCCTAAATACTTAATAGATTGAGTTGATGGCTGGCAGGAGGATAAAGACAACTGCCCAATCAATTTAAAACGCTGCTAATGTTGTCAGGCAATGTTGCTAACTGCGCAAGGAAAATAAATCTCTTAACAAGTTGTCACCAAGAAGTAATAAAACGTGACAGTAAAATAGTCTGCAGTTTGATATGCAGGGCATTTCTTGAGACTCATCAATGTTCAGACTCATCATCACATCAAAATTATGGATTGTTTCTCCAAACATGGGGGAGTGAGGTGTGAATGGAGGGAACTGAATGGTTGACAAAGTCGTAGAACACTGTCATGTAGCAACATTGCTTTTTTTGAAGAATATTAAGGAGTATTTGATGAGAATAATTTGGTTAATTTTCAGCAGTTAAGTTGATTTAAAATGAATATTTCAGACAAATCTTTTTTTAGTACAGTGATAATAGGTTGTATAGTTAAGATAAAGAGCTCCTTGGATTGACATTCTTGTTTGTTATACTTTATACCCTTTATTAGGGCAGGCTGGTATGGAGAAAATCAAATATCTGGATATTTAATCTCTGTCAATATTACAACAGTATTGTAGGGCTGAGTATTGGTGCTTTCACAAAATATTTAGACAATGAAATTTTTTGATAAACAGTTATCAGTAATGTGAATATAATGCCCAAGACAAATAATAGATCAGATGAAAATATAGTGTATATATGTATTATATATGTATCGCCCAGCCAGCCCTTCCCTTTATGAACATTGCTGTTATTCATCAAATGTTAATGTCAAAAGGCACATATCAATTATCACTTAGCTGTGCTATTTTTAAGTTGAAAAAGTGATATAACCTCCATTTCAGATTAAGACAGTTTCTGCCTTGAGTATTCAAAGTGCACTGTGGGCGGTCAGTTTAGTAGAGTGATTGTTTTCAGCAGCAGTGAAACATCAGGCCAACTCAACACAAGAATCACAGAGCAGTGAACTAATTTGCATTCTTGCTTATGGGCTGACTGCTTTCACCCGTAGTGTTTTGACTGCTGATTTTACTTTGGCCATTGGATGTTGCCGGAAAACATTGGGAGCTCTTAAAGGGATGGTTCAGATCTTCTTCAGTGGAGTTGTATGGGGTACTTATCCATAGACGGTATATTACATAGTAGATGTCAGCTGGCACTCCCCTAGTTCGGGGAAGCAGGCAAGAGTCTGACATGAAAGCTAAGCTATGTCCTGCTGTGGACGGGGGTCAGCTACAAAACATTTTTTAGCCACCAAAAATAAATTCCCATCCTAAAAAGTCAGTATCAGTTTAAGTGTATGCTGTATTGAGAGTATTGTCACTGCTTTACCTCACCATCAGACAGTGATACGTGATACAAAATTGAAGCTGGTATATTGCTCTTTTCAAAGCCAGACTCCATTCAGAAAAACTGTGATTTAACATTGCTGAACACAGGAGCTGCTGGTCTACTGCTGCCTTGAACTGTTGTTTTGTTTGTGTTATTGTGTGACTTTGGTTAAAGGGTTAGTTTGGATTCACCAAAGTCACACAATAACACCAACAGACTAAATGATCAAGGCAGGGGTAGACCAGCAGCTCTAATGTTCAGTGAGCTAAAATTACTGTTTTTCTCCATGGAGTCTGGTTGGGCATAGATGGAGAACTAAAGATGTTGACATCGGCCCCGTCAAAAGCGGCAGTGAAAATCTTCTCAGTATAGCAAAAACCTAAACTGTTGATGATATAATTTTTTTTTTAAGGTGGCTGAAACATGCTTTATTGCCGGCCCCTAATCCAAAGCACTACGTGGCTTTGCTTCTGTGTCAGACTCCAGCCTGTTTCTCCAAACTGGAGGCATGCCGGCTGACATCAACTTAATGTAATACACTAACTATGGATAAGTATTGCATAAAACCCCACTTCAGAAAATCCAAACTGTTCCTTTAAATGGAGCCAGAGTTATAAGATATGAAGTGCTGAATGATGACACGGTGAAATACTGTATACTGGACATCATGTGCTTTTGACCCACTGAATGACCACATTTATAACACTCTCTTTAGGTTGGTTTCAGCCTCTCAAGGTCACGTGTGAATGGAGTCTTGTCCTACACTGTGAGTACATCCAGCCATAAACATTTCTGTAGAATATTGCACATGGTTATTTCCAGACTTGCTTTAAGTAGTCATGCTATAGTGCTGTCCTATGTTATGAATTCAATTAATGTAAGATACTGATGCTTAAAATTATTGGTATTTCAAGGGCAGGCTTAGTCGTGAAATGTGCAGTTGGTGGTTCAGATTTGATTATTTGACTTTTCTTTTTGTTCCTGGAGGCGGAAGAGACCGAGACATGCCCACTGACTCTCACAAAGCTGACCAACAACGAGCCTCTCATCCTTTTTCTCATCGATATCAGCACCCTCAGGTGTGTATGTCTCAGCACCAGTGTTCACAAAGTCTGTATTACTGTGTCCTGACAGCCTAACGTGAAGGGTGACTATGTAATGTGTGTTTGTGTAGTGTCAATGTGAGAGCTATGGGTGATCAAGACAACATCTTGCGAGCAAAGCCAAAGGGTGAATCGCCTAAAGGTCAGTGCCGCTCACACTTTACATCTCTCACAAAATCATTCAGCGTTTTGCTTCTCTTTCATATTTAAGCACCAGAATGAATCATTTTAAACTGACTTAACTTTGAAATATCCTGTGAGAATTTGAAAATAGCTCAATTGTACCACCAAAGAATGTGACGGGTAGCATTGTGTGTGTTGTACCTCTATGTGTTTCCTATAGGCCAGAGGAAAGCCAGGCAAGCTCTTGCTAATACTGCTGTTAAACCCGGGGATAAACAGACAACAAATGGAGAAAACAATGCAGGTCAGACAGACAAGAAGGCTGACAAGAAGGCTGTTGAAATGGAAAATAAACCTGCGGTTGCAAAGGAAGAAGTTGAGACAGAAGCAAAGCCAAAGCCTTCAGTAGAAGCTACTGAAAAGGATGAGAAGGAATTCCAGGTAAAAGGTGTTTGTGTGCCTTTTTCTGTTTCTGTGATATATTCTTAAACATCAGTTTCTAATCTGTGTTTGCTTCTAGCTGGGGAAGAACACCCAGTTTACTCTAGCTCTGGACAAAGATAAGGACACAGGTTCATACAAATTCAAAGTAAGCACATCTTTCTTTACTATTATTCGTGATGTGAATAGTGTTTGATGTTGTTGACTGTCGTGTGGCATTTTTTCCGTCCCTCTTCCACAGTTCCACATGGTGGTGGGGATGCTGGCGGAGGGTCTGTACAGCCTCAAGTTCCACTACTGTCAGAACAGGGTGCAAGGAATCAAGCTACCCTACTCATTTGCCGTAAGTCAAGTGTGTTTGTGTTCATACGTGCATGCTCAGGTGTGTACATGTGTTTAACCTGAATGTATCCCCTGCAGGTGGAAGTGATAGAGGAGAATCCAGGTGGCTACCTGTCTGCAGCAGAAATTCCTTTGTCTCGCCTTTACATCGGTATGGCCGGAGTCTTCTTCACCGCTGCCATGATCTGGGTGTACACACTCATGAAGCACAGGTACACATGCATGCAGGCACACTGACATGAAAGTTTACAGTATTGTGTAACAGAATCTTGCAGTTTCCGTTATTTAAAGATGCCACATCACTTTGTAGAGTCTTGAGGGCTGTTTGCTGGGTAATGTTAATATCCTGTTAAGCTGTTACAACACCAGCATTGTAACTACACTAAGAGTCTGCAGCCACAGTGGCTCAGTGAAGCTGTGCTGAGGCTCAGTGTTGCTTTGAGCTGAATGCTAACAGCAGTATACTAACATGCTCACAATGACGACGCGGACTCCCAGATATAGCGGGTATACTGATTATCATTTTACTATCTTGTTAACATGCCAGTATTTGCTTATTGGCACCGAACGTGATGAGAATGTCATTAGTTTTATAGGTTTTTGGTCATAAACCAAAATATCAGACAAATAAAAAAAATTGACCTGATAAAGACGCTAGATGGACACTTAAAGTAATACTTCACCCCCAAATCACCACTTGTGTATCAATTACCTATTAATTACTTACCCCATGTTACATTAAATTCTGTAAGAATGTTTTTCTCACATGCCTCTGGTTAACAAAGAATCCAGAAATTGAAAAAACTACTGATGAATTAAAGTAACAGGGGAACATTTAACAACAGCAAAACTATATCAAAACATCAATTTACAAATTCTCACATAATTCTTGCAGTATAATCTCATTTTCATAATAATTATACCAAATAATTCTAAAATACAGAGGACCATCTCTTTGGAACAACCTGCTTCCATGTCTACAATCATCATGTACATTATTATCATTGAGAAAACATCTTAACACTTCATTGGTTTATGTAATTTGTTTGTGTTTTTTGTTGTTGCTGTAAATTGTACATCTTTAACAATTTTGTAATACTTCTTAGTAGGGTTGGGTGATATGGCCCTAAAATAACATCACAATATTTCAGGGTATTTTTGTGATAACAATATTCTTGATGATTTGACAAGTTAGAAAAAAATATATATATAAATCTTATTATTTTATTATTCATTTAAGAAAATAGAATTGCAACAAAATCAGTGATATAGTTTTACAGTTTACTTTAAATATTCATTAAAAAGTAAAGAAAAATAATCTCTCATTTCTTTAGTTTGTGAACAACAACTGTAACTCAGAGTGACATTCAGATTCTGTAACAATATTAATAGTTCAACAAAATAATATCTACCACAAATTACACATTTAAACAGCTCCCAAATACAAAAAAATGACCCCTGGGATCTATATATATAAATCAGCAGGTGATTTCTTTTTTTTTTTTTTTTTTTAGTAAAATCCTAAATGGCTGAGTTGGGTTTTTTTTTTCACCTGAACCTTTATGCTCTGCCATTTCTCCTCTAATCATCACGCTGTAACCTGTGACAGGCTGTTATGATACCACAACTATGGCACATTCACATATATGTAGGTCTTTGTCAAGCCGCAAGCGCCATGTAGGTTTACATTACAAAAGTTTGTGACAAATGAATTGATGACACCGACTCCTGTGTGCACACGGCGAGAGAGGAGAGGAATAGACGCTGTGCTGCTGCCAGAGGAGCCGCTGAATGAGTTCCTCTGCAGAGAGGGTAACTCGCGGTAACTCGCTTAAAGAGTCTGAGAAGTCCGGGGCTGTTCATAAAACATTAGAGACGCCTAGCCTAACGATGCCACAGTTTATTCAACACTACTGGAGCTTCTCCTCTTTTTGGAACCACTATGGATCGCTAATAATATCGCTTTCAACCATGCTTGTTGTTGCCAGGTAATGCTGCCATATGTCAACAGCCCGAAATATCAGGAGTATCATGATATGAATTTTTCATATGATAATAAAAAATATACTGGTATTATCGTGAACGAGATGATGTGGCACACCCCTGCTTCTTAGTCTGGAACTTTTATTCGATTATGCAGTCTTAGTTTTTACCCCTTTCTTTTTATGTATGATTGTTGTTATTTAATAAAGGAGGTATCTTCATGGACCATTTTTGGCGTCTAACCTGTCCTGCACAATGGTTTAACTTTTAATTTTTATCCCCTGTATTTTCTGTACATAAACTAAACTAAAGTACTTGTACCCCAAAACAAAGGAACATGCCAAAACTTGAGCTGTGTGAATGATCACTGTGTAGTGGTACCAATGTACTACTATATAAAATATTTTAACCTCTGCCCCTATGTGCTATTTTACAGGTACAGCGTGTTTAAGATCCACTGGCTGATGGCAGCACTGGCCTTTACCAAGTCCACATCATTGGTTTTCCATAGTGTAAGTACGCCAGCATCACAGAGCAGACTGTTCTCACCACTGTAGTATCTCATCTTTGTGTTTGGCTTTTATTGCTATGTCTGTCTGTTCTGCCTGCACTGCTCACTGTGCTCACAACACACCTGGATTCTTTGTCTCTCTCTCTCAGATCAATTACCACTTCATCAACACTGAGGGGCATCCCATTGAAGGCTGGGCTGTCATGTATTACATCACACACCTGTAAGTACCATTTCTCCAGATTATTAAAGTTATTCAAGATTCTGTTTTGGGTTTAATTCTTACAGTTTATATTGATGTACATTCCAGGCTCAAGGGGGCGCTGCTGTTCATCACACTGGCACTGATCGGCACCGGCTGGGCTTTTGTGAAATACATCCTGTCTGACAAGGAAAAGAAGATCTTCATGATTGTCATCCCTCTGCAGGTGTGTGTGCACGAGAAACAGCATGTGATTGTCAACATTCAGTGAATATGTTTTGGTGACCCACTCCCTCGTCGTTCTTCAGGTCCTGGCTAATGTCGCCTACATCATCATCGAGTCTACAGAGGAAGGCTCCAGTGAATATTATCTGTGGAAGGAGATTCTCTTCCTGGTCGACCTCATCTGCTGCGGAGCCATCCTTTTCCCTGTTGTCTGGTAAGTGTGTGTGCAGTCTGACTAATTTGTATCAGTTACATTTTCCATTTTAAAAAATCCATTGAGAAATTGAATTAAGACTAGTTTTGGGAATGATGCATACGCAGTTGGCTGTTTCCACAGAAGCTAGTTATGATGAGAGGATCTAGTGGTTAAACTGGGCCCTGCATGTTGTAGAAATATGAGTCAATTTAAGTAACTGACAGCAGCAGGAAAGAGGCAAGGTTACCAGGAGATAATGTTGGAAAGCAGGCGTGATGGTGGTGGGCTGGATGAGCGGCCCCCACCAGCCAGTCAGAGCTAAGTCAAGCCATGATGTAAGTTCCCTTCTTCTCAGCCGACCTACATCATGAATAGCAATTAAAACAACGTACATTTTCAGTTTGTAGTCCAGAATCTCAAGTTTACAATTACAGAAACACTGATTGATTTTTTTATCATGAAAAATTCATCTAATAAGTGTTACATGAGCCGTGCATGTGAGTTAACCCATAATGTTAAATAACATGTTCAGGCTGTGTGCAGATGTATTTGTTGTTTTCAAACATACCTGTCTTTGTAGGTCCATCCGTCACCTACAGGAGGCTTCTAGCACCGACGGCAAAGGTGAGAATTCTGATCAGTTACAGCCCAAACGTGTTGGGCTGTATTACTCATTACTCGTAAACCTTTAAAAAATAATATTATTACTTTTTCTTACTACACCCCGACAACAGTAGTTTGTTACAGTGCATGTTATATTACTTTTCCATTATCTTTTCTACTCAAAATTCAGACATTGCATGTGCATCTTTGTGTGAATGTCAAGGCAGTCTCCTCTAAGTGCAGCTAAGGCTAGATAGCTTGCAAATAATTTTTTACCTGGAAGTCTTTGTTTGCCTGTGACCGGTATTTTCCAGGGGTGTGATGGTTCACAAAATTCCCAGTTTGGTTGGATACGATACAGTGGTGTCACGGTTTGGTATGTTTTCAGTACAACATGTAGAAATGCCAGAGGAATGTCCTTAATTTAAAAAAATTTGAATGTATAAAAACTAACATAATTTAGGCTTTTGGGAGTTGTATTTTTTTCAACACAGCAGGAATTAGGGTCTGACTGAAATGGGCTCGTGCAAGTCTGGTAAAGCATAATCAATGATTTCTCTCTGAACACATTATACTTGAGAATTGTGTAGCACTGAATGGTGGAGTTTGACTAGTAAACTTTTTCTCACCATTTCTGTGTCCATTTCTGTGTTTTTTGGCCAAGCTTAAAAGCATGTTCGTTTACGCAGTAGAGCCATCCTGAACATAACCCCCTCCCTACTATATAAAAAGTATGTCACTGCCGATGTTAGAGGGCGTAGTATCTGTCATTTCTATTGCCTACTGTGTGTTGGCTGCAAGGTTGTTGCATCCAACAGTTACATCCGCCAGCAGTTACTGCTCAATTCTGAAGGTGTGTGCGTTGTGATAGTGTTAGCCTGCTAAACGAGAGGCAATAGCCACACAGCGGCTCTGGAGCACAATGTTTTGGTTTGGAGGTGAGAGGGGCAGACAGCATGTCGCCCGCTCCATGTGGGCTGCCTTGTTGAGCATAGTGGCAATGAAAACGTTTTGTTAAACATAGTTTAAGCTGTATATTTCCAAATGTAGTAGAATAGTTCAGCTTATTGTTCGGTTTGAAATGCGTTCTGAACCAAACGCTCTGTATGGAAGGGTTCAGTATGCATACGTGTTACACCCCTTGTGTTTTCTCAAGGAACTGTCTGAGAGACGGCGCGTCAGTCGTGGAGAGAGGAAACATTTAATCCACCACATATCCAGCCACAAGCTCCATTAGTTCTTTGTTGCTAGTAGCCTTGTTTTCATGATTAAAATCCAGGTTTGTTTTTTAGTTAGCGTAGGACTACAGCCATCTTCCTTGGCTGCAGAGGGCTCACCTTTGGTGGGTGTATTTCCATGCGCTTCACGTTGTTTTGCTGGCAAGTACAGTCGGTGTTTCAGGAGGTTTAAGGTTGTGTTTTTCACAGTGGAAAGAGTCTTAGTACCGCTACCTGGAACAACAGTGTTCTTCATCTTTCCTCCAGAAAATGTCAAAGTCATGGGAGTATTACCAGCTGCTGAATGTAAGAGTTTCTGTCTTCCAAGCTAGCTTGCTGCTTTGTGACTTGCATATGCGACGATTACGAAAATGAACCCAGGGATGTGCTCAATTGTTATTATCTCAAATCAGTAGGGCAACAAGAGTAAAGGTTTTGAGTAAGTGTAATATTATAGAGAAAAAGTTGAGTCCGCACACTAGATACAGCTCCAAAGATTTAATGTGAATATCACCACATGTGACGTTTCGGGCACAGGCCCTTCATCAGATATGAAACTGGTAAATAGACACACCTGCTTAAAACAATGTCAGGGATCACCTGATTTGTACCAGTTTCATGTCTGATGAAGGGCCTGTGCCCGAAACGTCACATGTGGTGATATTCACATTAAATCTTTGGAGCTGTATCTAGTGTGCGGACTCAACTTTTTCTACATTGATGCCTCTTTGTGGTCCAGCACCTAGGCTAAGTCTTTTCTAGGATGTGCATGTCCTTTTGTTCTCTTTAAGTGTGATATTATAACTAAAATTCTACTAGTAATTTGTTACCCTAATAATTACAGGCAAAAGTAATATAACTAACGCATTCCTGCCTAACACTGAGACGTTTGTGTTTTTGTTCTGTTTTTAATTAAATTGTGTCCTTGTCTGTTTCAGCTGCAATGAATTTGGAGAAGCTCAAGCTCTTCCGGCATTATTACGTTATGGTAAGAAGGCATTCAGCTCGGCAGTATTTCTCCTCTTTCATCCTCATCCATCCATCTTTCCATGCGTCCACAAGAGCTGACCGTTATTAGATTGTCAGTGAAATTGAAATTTCCAAGCACAGTACTGATAGCTTGATAAGCTTGCAAGTTGTTGATGTTGCTGATGATGTTTGAATATTTCTTAATCAGACATGTTTATTATCTGATTAGCATCATCCTTCAGCTGTACAATGAATTATACTGAGTCACAGTGTTTGGCAGGGCCACACCAGGATTCTCATTCAGCAGAGTCACTGCTGCAGAGCCACAACTGCTTTACAAACAACCCCACGTACTGTTTGACCATTTAGACAATGTGCACCATTGTTCTTTGTCACAAGACAAGTTTTACTAATCTTGAGTAAAAGATTCAGTTTAGATAAAAACTGTGTTAGTTTAACCACCCAGCTGTCATCTTAATGTCATTTTTTGTAATTCTGTGTTCATCTTTTTAGATTGTGTGTTATATCTACTTCACAAGGATCATAGCCATCCTGCTCAAGGTCACTATGCCTTTCCAGTGGCAGTGGTGCTACGAGGTAAGGCGACAACAATGTTGAATAGCAATTTGACTTTATTACTTTAATGAGCACTTGTTTGTAAAAGGTCAGAGGAATCTTTTATCTTACACTGACTCAGCGATGACTAGGCATAATTGGCTGGAGGTTTTACTTGGATGTATGCCAGTAGGATGTTTGCAAACACATACTCAGTGCCATTTATTATTCAGCAAATAGACAAGAACACCAGAGGGAGGGTATTAGGATTACTGGAAGGAGAGAATGTTGTATTGATTGAATCATTCAACCTTTTGTACATCGACTTTAAGAATGAATAACAGCACATGGACTTAGATATTGTTGTTTGACTGGTCCGATGCCAGTAATATGAAGCTTGTTTGCATGGTTGGGAAGAAATTTGTTTATCTTGGCAGAGCTAGAGGCTGTTAGCTAGAAGCAACTGTTGAGCTGCAGGTCAACTTTGAGCACACACTCTCATGTTTCTTCAGTTTCTGGTGGAGGTGTCTACTCTGATCTTCTTCGTGTTGACGGGCTACAAGTTCAGACCAGCATCCAACAACCCCTACCTCCAGCTTCCCCAGGATGAGGAGGATGTAGAGGCGGATGAAGTGTAAGCAAGCACCCTACACTGATTTTGCTCAGTATTTTCTCACATTATTAGCAGGCTCATGGCACTACATGTCTTACACATTGTCAGCATAGGCTGTGTCATGATTAGGGATGTCACAAGAGCAAATACTTAGGTACCAAGGTGATGGCAAAAGTTTGAGAATTGGACCATACTGATTTTTCTCTAGTAGCATAGGCACCGTAGGTACTGGGTCCTGACCACTGACAATGCAGAAGCATTCCTAAAAAAAAAATCAGGCAAAGGATTACAAACATAACAGCGAGAAACTGAAATTGGGATTTAATATTCCAGTCTGTCAAAGAAGTTGGTGCCTTCAAAAGCGCAACTATAGACTAAAAGAAGATGGTGATGACGCTTTAGTTACCACCAGCTTTCTGAAGGCGCTAATAAATTCACCATAGCTGCATGTGACTGTGTGTGCTGATCTTTGTGTTTCGGACCGTTTTTGCAATGAAGCTCATTTGAGTAGAGGTGCATTTTCACCCCGTAAAGGTGCTTTGAGAATGACTTTGTGTACAGATTTAGCGGCCACTAAAGCCACGCAGCCCTTCTTTGAATTCGCCCATGAGAATAAAGCCAGCTTTTTTTAGTTTACATCAATCAGGAACAAAGTTTGATGAAAGTTAAAAGGCTCTCTAACTGAAGTGCTGTTGCTCCTCTGTGTTTCTCTCTGTTTGCAGTGTGACTGAGTCAGGTGCACTGGAGGGAATTTCCAAAGTCAAGAAGACGTGTAACGGACGCGAGCGCCAGAAAGAGTCCACCTTGTGAGCAGGAAGCTGCATCTTTGGGGGTCGGAGGATCCACTAAACTTCCCCATGCCAGCCGGTACAAAGGGGTGCACATGGACCAAGGCTCCCCACCCCCAGTGACAGCATTCCTTTCGAGACTCGTAGAGTGGTTGCAGTGGTCGTGTCCACTGTCTGGCTATGCAAAAAAAAAAAAAAAATTAAAGACTAACTTTGTTGGACGCTCTCCAATTCCTCTGAACACTCCACCCAGAAACTCTGAAGGGTTTCAGATGGAGACGAGTCTTTGCCACATGGATGATGGGTGGAGACACGGAAAGGAGCTCTGATGTTCTTTAGTTTTCACTTCTCTCTCTCTCTCTCTCTCTCTCTCTCTCTCTCCAAAGATAATTATCATTTTAGAGAAAGACTTGCTTTTGGGTGCATTTATATTGGCTATTTAATACGGTACTTCTGCGAGCCTCTTAGTTGTACCTTTTTGTGGGTGATGTGAGTACACGTATGTGTGAATGTGAGACAACACAAGATTTGGACACAACCGTTTTCTTCCCTTTGGAGACAGTGGCCCTTGCTCAGGTAAAAAGGCTAATCAGTATATATTTAAAACTTAGGCAACAATCTGAACACGTTATTTCTTATTCCCACGATTCAGGGGTCAGTAATGTTCCCATCGCTCCTTATACAACTTCATCACCATGCAGTACAAGTTATGTTACTTTTTCCCATAGGATTGATTTATATATTGAAATATATGGAAGAGGTTGTATATTTCAATATATTTACTTATTGCATATTGAAATGTTATATTTCAGTATTATTGTTTATGTTGGAGAGGTAAGAGTTCCTCCCAGTCCGTCACATGGACTGCTGCTGTAATTTAGTGCTTTAGTGGTTGAGGTCAACTCACATCTCTGTGAAATCAGCCCTAGATGGTGACACGTGAAGCTCTTAATGAACAAAGAGGTTGATGAATCAGTCTCTCAGATAACTAGAGCAGTGGCCCTGATTACGTTCAACGACGGCCTTGGGTTTTGTTTTTTGTTTTTTGTTTTTCCCTCATTTGGCCACACTGTGCCAATCTAGGCAGAGAGGTGACCTAACGGATCATATTTGAATTTGTCTGCTTTTGGTTTTACCTTCTTGCTCTTGATGTGAAGCTTATTTTATTAATTATTGATGACTTATTGGTGAAAGATGAGAAAAAACGTGTGCAGCCGGGCAGGTTAGATGGCCATTTGTAAATAATTTACAGAGACTGTTGATATAAAAGGAGACACATAACACGTCGTAAGAACTGTGTAGAGGCTTTATAGACAGTGATTCAGGTGGTTCATTTTAAATGGGATGGGTTGATTCCTGTAATAGAAGGAGGGCAGGAGTACATGCGAGGAATTAAGGACAGACTACTGAGATTTAACCACAGACACTCCTGTACAGGTATGAAGGAGCTACACTGTGATTACAGACTGTTAATTTGTCTCCTGGTACGAACACAGGAGGTAACAGTCAGTACACAAGTTGAGCAGAGAAGGTTTTGTGCTTGTTACAGAGGACAGTTTGATGTCTGTGTGAATTTTCACAATAAAGCTTGTGTTCTGGAAAGGTCTCAAATGAAGCTGTTATGTCTATGTTTTGAAGCACTTTTTTAAAGTTGTCATTAAAGAATTAATAATCCATTTCTATAAAGACAGGGCATATATAAAAGAAGGGCAGTCAAAAGCCCCGTTTCCACCAAATGCTGTCAGTATGGTACCTTTGGAACCAACAGTAACCCTTCAGACATGGTACCTAGACCCTAGAGTTTCCACCACAAACAGTACTCTTAAATGTCGGCGGGGTTGTTGTCACTCGGTGCTCCATCCAGCACTAACAGAACAGGCTGCAGTGAGTCTCTCTCCATGAGATATTTAAAAATGGCGGGTTTGTGCATTTAGTCCTTCTCAGGCAAGCACAGCTGTCCGGAGCCCACAGGAACAATGCTCCGCAATGCTTTTTTTTTTTTTCCTCAAAGTGAGGATTAGAAGCCTCAACTAGAAGTAAAAACTAAAAGATGCTTTGTGGTGTCTAGCAGTGAATACTGCAGATTGCAACCAGCTGAAACTTCTCCCAGTGAGAATTCCTTCAGTGTTAATTGTTCAGGAGGTTTTTATCAGGAGCCAGATCATCCTCAGATGTCTCTTCCTCTCCAACACAAACCGATTTACACCAGTTAAGCCACTGAATAGGGCAGTTTCATGTTACAAGTTTGGCACATCGTAGATTGGCTAGCCCAACACCTGCCAATGTGTGCTCACCTTTTTTCTCTTACAAAATATGACCTTGAAGTTCAGGTGGTTTTTACTGAGAGCCTAATAATCCACAGAGGTCTCCTCAACAAAATGAATGGACACAGTAATTTAAAGTGGTTAAAACACTGAATGAAGCAGTTTCGTGTTAAAAAGAAAATCAGTGTTTATCCAGTGATCTTGTTACGGACTGGCTGCTAACTACAGTGGCTGACAAATACACAAAAATACAATGGCTCAATGTAGAACCAGTGTTTTGTTTGTCTATTCTAGGCTACTGTAGAAACACAGTGGTGCAACATGGCGATGTCTGCACACAAGGACCCGCCCCTACATACTTAAACAGCTCATTCTAAGATAACAAAAACACAATGATTCATATTTTCAGGAGATTACACAGAAAACATGCTTATTATATTCCATGTATACCAATATATCTCCTGAATCCTACACACTGGACCTTTTATGTAGAATAAACTAAACACAGTGGTATGGTCCTTTAAAGTCTGCTTTTTTGGCACAGCATGCACCTTCCATAATAACTCATCATGCAGCTGATTATTGTTATATTGTCTTAACTATGCAAACATACTGCAGACCATTAACAGCCCACACCAGAGCAGTTTAAATGTGGAACTTCTCATGGTTAAACACTGAAGGATTAATGATGGCGGATTCTCTTCATCTCACACTGCTGCAGCACTGGAGGTGAACTCTTGGTTGTAACAGGCACATATCATCTGTCCAGTGTTGGGCCAATAGTTGGCAGGCTGGTCGGTGCCAGCTCAGCTCAGCCCAGCTCAGCCCCTCCCTCCCTGCGAGTGTCGGGTGGACGCTGCTGCTCACTGCAGTCCGCAGTAAATCCACCGGAGCCCGTCAGAGTGCAGCAGACTGCAGTCTCCATCACACCGCTCCGCCTCCCTGCACTCCCCTGGCAGGTGTTAAGGACACGCACAGCGGGGCCGGGACAATGTGAGTATCACCTCTTATATATCGGAGTAAATGAATATCTCGCAGGTATATTAGGAGGAATTTCTCCAGGAATGTTTGACCATAGCTGAGGTCTATTTTTGCGACTTTTCTGCAGCGATCATGCACAGGTAAAGTTGATTTTGGCGTTATTGTTGGTCGGTTGTGCTCGCATGAAAATTAAAATATTTAATAAGTTGCTGTTTCTATACATAGAACAGCAGATAGACATGATCTGATTGTATTTCTAGAAGATTAACCCTATATTTAAATTATTGTAATTTAAAAAAAACAGTCTCGGCTTTGAATTCAGATGTCTGGTTATTCTAAAGAGTAATAAATGTTATGATGAAGGGGATATTATGAGCTACAAGACCTTGTTTCTCAATGACCTCAAAACGCCTTTGATTTAGAGAAGGCATGCAGAGCATGATGATGCAGCAGATCTCTCCCCTCGTTGCGTCGCTGTGAGAGCAGGAAAACGTGTCCCATTTCATCTCTGCAGTGCAAACACAGGAATGCAGCACACTGACGCGCAGACTGACACACACATTCACTCACTAAGCCTCTTAAAATCCGTCAGTCAAACATTTTCCTCCGACGTATAATTTTTTTTATCATTTTTGTCATCGAACAGTATCAGTCACTGGTCCCTGCCACAGTGTTGCAATAAGTATGCAGACCTTTTACTTAAGTTAAAGTAGCACAGTATAAGAATTTTAAAAGCCCTGCATATAAAATATTACTTAAGGTACATAAGTATCAGTAAAAAAAAAAAAATGTATTTAAAGTATCAAAACAAATGCTCATTATGCAGCATGGTCCATTTCAGAATTAAATCATATTACTGGATCATAATTACTGATGCATACATTAGTATAATAAACATGACTAATGTTGCAGCTGCTATAGGTGGGGCTAGTTTAGCTGCTTAGCTACTCAAACATAATAGGGGAGAGCGGGGCACAACTTAACACATTTTTGTTCGGGCTGAATGTTATTAAAACTGTTTGTTTTATTCTAACAACATGCACATCTCTGCTACAAATAAACAGTAATTGTTTTTTTCTAGAACTTACCTTTCTTCTACAATTGTGCTGAGAAGTGGTGGAAGTGAAATGTTGCAACGTACCCCATGGGTGGGGTTAAGTGGAAGAGGCAGAGGGTTAGTTGTAACGCTTGCTGGAAAGGTCTGTTTAACTCGATTAATTCAACACAGTTCTATATAGGTCTCCATCTACATCAGGGGAAGGATAGGTATCCATACAGGTATCCATCCTTCTGTCAGTCTATCATCCATATTCAATGGTTGGACCGATAGATGTCTAGGAATGGGTAACCTAGATCCACATGTCAAAATAAGAGTATCGACTGTAGGAATATTGACTAGACTGTGAAACTGTGTCAATAAGATACCTGACAATTAAATGCAAAGTATATCTCCTTAATTAAGAACATTCATTCAAACTGAACAGAAGTTTGAGGTGCAAAAATAGAGACAATGACCTATGACCTGGCTTAATTGTAACACCACATTACAACCCTGCTGTGTGTTCATTTTATCAAGCCGAGCCAACACTTGTTGGGAGTTGGTTACATAGTTCAAAATGGTGCTGTGTTTTAGGCAACAAGACAGTTGTTACGATGATATATGGTTGGATTCAATGACTTGCACAGACAGCTGAGCAATTGAAAAACAAGTATGACAAAGAAATCTCCACTGAAACACGTCCAATCTGTGGAATTTTGTCACTGTTTGGAGGTGTTGTGGTCAACTGGCCAGAAGCAGGAAAGGACTGACCCTGTGGAACGACATAAAAAGTCCATGTTACAATTTACCCCGCGTTAGGCTGTGCCCCACACTTTTTACAAGTTTAGTACAAGTACCTCAAAACTGTATTTAAGTACAGTACTTGAGTAAATGTACATAGTTACATAAACCACTAGTCGATTCACTGTTATTCTTTAAAAGCATTTTAAATGAAGACGCTTGATTTGTACTTGTGTCCTTCCTCAGGGCTTTCATCTCAGTCTTGGCGTTGTTGGCCCTAGTGGTCTCTGCTGAAGGAAGTGTTGGGTAAGTTGATCACTTAAGATAGAAACAGGTACCACATGACCCCTAAAAACCCCTCACAGGTAAGGGAAATGACATTGATGATATTGTTACAATGCAATGTTCTGCTAGGAATCCTTGGGCCCCTGGTATTCATGTGGATGCCCCTTGACACGCACCACCCACTCAAACATTGCTGCAGCTCCTCGTGGCAATGCCACTCCCTGATGGCAGTGCCCCACAAACACTGCTCAGGAATGGCCTAAGGAATGTGACAAAGAGCTCAAGGCATTGACTTGGCTTCTAAATTTCCAAGGTCCCAATCCGATCAAGCATTCATGGGACATGCCGGTACCCTGGAGCCAAGTCTGATCCACAGTGGGGCCTCCTTGGATTGGACTTGGCACCAGTGGGTCTTTTCAGTCCTGTGGGTTGCGAGGTGGGGTATTGGCATGTCAGAGGGATGCTCAATTCAATTTGGACCTGGGGAATTTGGGGGGGGGGGGGGGGGGCACTTGTGCTTGGTCTGTAGTCTCGCCACCAGACAATCAGACATCTCCGCCTTCTGATAGTCTGGGGACACTCCTTTCTAAAGTGTGTTTAACACACCGGAGGAAACAGCCGGCAACAAAGCAACGCCTCTTGCATTTTTGAAAAGGACACGCCCTCACAGAAATGTGCGCTCCCCCTTTTCTCGTCTGCAAGGACACAAACACACAGATAGCTTGAAAATGGATGCCGAGAGATTTAACTCCGTTTTATCAAACGTGTGCTCAGTCCACAAGATTGTGGAAATGAAGGACTTACAGCGACTTGAGCCATTTTGTACCGCTACACGTGTTTCTAGTCGGACTATGTTTACAAGCAGAAGAGTTCAGCGAGCCACCGAAGGACCGCCCTGCGGATTGACTATTGGTGCTGCAACGCAGGGAGTTTTTTTTAAACTCTGAAATTGTATCCGCCCATCTAAACACAAAATCAGGGAGAAAGTCATCAGTCTTTAGTTAAGCAAAGCGTCTAAAGACTAACTTGTGAGTCTACTTGGTCTGCAACATTTTGATGGGTGGTGCGTGTCAAGTGGCATCCACATCAATGCTAGGACTAAAGGATTCCCAGCAGAACATTGCATTGTCCCAAGATGATCATAATTATTATTCACTTCATCTGTCAGTGGTTTTAATGTTCTGGCTGATCAGTGTATAAATGATCATGCTTTTGCTGATATTGCCAAGCAACTCTGGAACACCATCTAGCAAAGTCTCTGAAAAGCCAAATCAGTGCCTTTCCTTAAGAAGCACAAAGCA